AGACCCTGGATTCTAGCATCTAGTCAGCCTTTTGGGCCTTCCCCTGGGAACTTGGCAGCCTTCGTTCACCGTCTGTGCCTGCGCGGCGGGTTTCCCCGGAACATTCTTTTATCTTTCTACTCTCGTCACCTTTTCCCAAATCTCTTCCAGTCCTGACTTTCTTTGTTGGGTCTACTTTTTTTGGCTTGTACTCCGTATGGGACGAGCATCGGGTGTTGCTTTTGTGTCTCGTCAACGATATTTTAGTCCTTCGTCCTTTAAGCGCCTGTGTCATCCAAAGCCGCTACCGAGGTCTCAGCCCTACTTCCCCCTCTTGAGCAGGGCTTGGCTCTCGGAACGCTCTCCTCTAACGAGCTGCGGCACAGCTCTGCCGACGACATGTCGGGGCCTGGGCTAACGTTCAACAAAGCAGCCCATCAAGACAACGGCTCAAACGACTTTAGCCGCTTCTCCGACTCCGAGACGGAAGAATCTACAGACCGCTCGCCATCGAAATCACCATCCGACATTATATCTTCGGCCTTTCGCGGCATCAAAAAGATCACACCAGGCCGCGACGATTTTGCAAAATTCGCGCGCCAGCCGGCTCAGCAGCTCAGCTTGCGACGTCCCTCTGAGCCGCCCACTCCGAGCATCGACAAGCCCGCAGTCTCTGCCCCGCTACCAAGGACAACGCCTCCGGCTCAGTACCATCATGCCAGGAGTCTGAGCCTGCAGGATAGTCTCGCAAAGCCGCTACCCGAACCGCCACCGCCCGAGCTGTCGCCAGTCGGACCGCTGACTCCCGTGCCACACACTTCGACACCCGGCAGCTTGGCCACGATACTGGACTCTGGGGAAGTCGGAATGGACAGCAGGGCCAGCACGATGGATTCGACATCGTCGGCGGAAATGGGAGGCGGGCTGTACATGAGGCCACAGGACAGCGCAAGCCAAGATATGTACATGAACAGCAGCCAGAGCAGTCTTGCCAGTGGGTCGCGTGCAGATGGAGTTGAGGAGCGCAGCGACAACATGACTCCGAGAAGCAACGGTCCGCTATCTGCTGGACCGTCTCCCAATATTGGTCAAGCAAGGGCGCCTGGCCCCGGCGCAGCGGTCGGAACCCCGGTGACGGCATCGTCGCAGCACTTGTCGGGTTTGATGTGTAATGTACATCGGACGACAGGGAGGGAGCCGCATCCGCTCGTCGGAGCGACCACGACGATTCTGGGCGACAAGCTCTACGTTTTCGGAGGAAGGATCCTGTCTAGGAGCAGGCCTGCCCCGCTGACATCGGACTTGTACGAACTGGATCTCATCCGCCGACATTGGACCAAGTTGGAAACCACAGGTGATATTCCACCACCGCGTTATTTCCACTCAATGTGCCCTCTCGGCGACACCAAGATGGTCTGCTACGGCGGCATGTCACCGACCCCGAATCAGAAAGGAAACATGGCGCAAGACCAGCAACCCGAAGTCACCGTCATGTCAGACATCTACATTTACGATGTTCCCACAAAGAAATGGACGTTTATCCCGACTCAAGACGCCCCACAAGGCCGTTATGCTCATTGCGCTTGCATTTTGCCCTCGTCGGCCTCGTTCGCATCCTACAAAGCGCCTCTATCAGCTCTCCAGCACAACCCCTCCACCGGTAACCCGAATGAAGGCCGGATCGGCATTACCATTGACGGGACAGGTGGAGCGGAGATGATCGTCGTAGGAGGGCAGGACGGCGCAAATCACTATATCGAGCAGATCAGCGTCTTCAATCTGCGCAGTCTGAAATGGACATCGACCCAGTCCCTGGGCAAAAGCTGCGGTGCTTATCGTAGCGTCGTAGCGCCGCTTCCTCCCTCTGTCACCGCCAAGATCGGAAAAGCGAATGCAAATGGCGCCCGTCAAGAAGGCAGCATCAGCCAAGAAGCGAAGGAGCCCGGGTCGAGCATGCTTATATACAGCAACTACAATTTCCTCGATGTCAAGCTGGAACTCCAAATCAGATCGAGTGACGGCTCGCTCAGCGAGCGTCCAATGAACGGTACCTACAGCCCGCCGGGGCTTCGATTCCCTAACGGAGGCATCATCGACACCCACTTTGTGGTCAGCGGCACCTATCTCACCTCGTCCAAGCAAGAATATGCTCTCTGGGCTCTGGACCTCCGGACCTTGACGTGGAGCCGTATCGACGCGGGTGGTGCCGTGTTTAGCCAAGGAAGTTGGAATCGAGGCGTGCTCTGGAACAGAAGGAATACCTTTGTCGTGCTAGGCAACAGAAAGAGATCGTTGGTGGACGATTACAACCATCGGAGAATCAATTTTAGCAATGTTTGCATGGTGGAACTCGAGGCTTTTGGTTTCTTCGACAACCCGCGCAAGACAGCGCCCATGAGCGGTTTTGTCAGCGCCAGCAGTCCTTATACCGGCCCCGGCCTAAGTCTGGCCCGCAAGGCGGGCTTCACCGCTGGGGGGCGATTCCATAGCCGTGCTGCAGAGGAGCTTGGAGAGAAGGCCCTCGCCATGAGGGAACTGGCAGACATGGACATCTTGTGCATTGGCGGGGAACGGATACCGATCAACTCTAGGATTGTTGCCAGGAGATGGGGCCCCTACTTTGTTCAGCTGCTCAGAGAGGGCACAGCGACCCATGATGGCAGCGACTCGATAACTCTTCGTTCCAATTCGCTCTCGGCGCCGGGGGGCGCGGTGCGCGGCTCCAACATGACCATCACTCCCGGCAACAGAAGCACGATGGAGAGCCAGATGTCCATGAACAGCTCTCTGTTCTCGGCAGGGAGCTCGGCTGGGAAGCCACCAAGCACATCAGGCACATCCATGAACACGGGAATTATGTCTCCTCAGGTGGATCCCGCCGCCATTAATACCGCTCCAACACCACGGACCCTACCTCCGAACAGCCGGCCTCGCTGTCTATATCTTCCCCACACATACCTTACTGTGCAGGCGTTGCTTCATTACTTGTATACCTCTGGCCTTCCGCAACCCTCTTCGCCACTCTGCACGCCCCAGATCTTATGCAGTCTCCTCCAGATCGCACGTCCATATCGTGTTGATGGCCTGCTCGAGGCCGTCGTCGAACGTCTTCACAACTTGCTCGACAGCCGCAACGCTGCGGCGGTATTCAACGCTACAGCCATGGCAGCTGGAGGCGGACGTGGCATCGATGGCAGTCTCAACCCCAACTTCTTCCCACTCACAGCTGGCATCGACGGGCTGGTGAGCCCCACCGACACTCAGTCTAACGGTGGCAGCTTCAGCGAGTCTAGTATCTCCAGCCGGGTAGGGGGCCTGAAAATAAGCACAAATGTGCCACAAGGAGGCCGCCCATCCAGTGAAGAACTGAGCGCGACGACCAGCGTCAGCGGCAGCGAGTGGAGTTCGGAAGTTGGGGACAGCGAAAGAGGAGGTACTCGCGAGATCTGGGCGGGCGAGTTGAGCAGTGTAATAGGATTACAAAAGAGAGGATTGCGTGGCCTGATGGAGGGTCGAAGGATGAGAGAACGGACCGGGACCAATCCCGGTGGCATGCCTGGCGGTCCCCAGCAGGGCGGTGCTGGTGGTACTGGTGCCGGAGGTCCCCAGTTTGGCGGTCCTGGAGGAGGGATGCAGCAGCGGGTGGGCTTGGGCATCGCAGGTTCTTAGAGTGGACATCGGATGCTGGCCAGGTTCCCTGGGCGGCTCGGGGTCGAGGAGAGATGATGGTAAGAGCCATCAAACACACTCCGGTCCGAGGCACATGTTGTTCGTATTTGGCCCTAGACGATCCTTGCGCGTTGAGCTTGCTTCTTATAAACTTCAGGCAGTGGGCACTAAATATAACGGTGAGATCTGACTGGAAGTACTAGATTCTATAAAAGCCCTGAACTGCTGAACCCTATTCTACCCGGACGAGCCCGTTGCGATACTTTTTATAGAGATTTTGAATTCTTAATAGGTTTAATCGACTGAAATCGAAGTCTTTGAGTCCGGATAGCCTCCTAAACCTCCTAGAGGGATTCTATCCGGACTCAAGGACTTCGATTTCAGTCTATTGAACCTATTGGGAATCTGGGATCTCTGTAGGGGTATTGTAACGGGCTTGTCCGGATAGAATGTAGTTTAGGACCTTTATAGAATCTAGTACTTCCAATCTCAAATTTTGCTTCTGTATTTAGTGCCTACTGCCTGAAGTTTATGAGAGGCAAGCTCAACGCACAAGGATCGTCTAGGGCCAAACTTTCCTGAGTCGCTGTTGAAACATGAGGCTGGGTCTCGTGGGGCGTGCGCAGCCGAACTGCCAACCGGGGCTGGAGACCAGTGACGCTCGGGACCAGTATAAGAGGGGCCGGTTGATGAGGGCGTTGATTTCTTCCGCGAGAGCATCCATTACTCTATCATCTTCATGCTCCCTCCACCGACGTGAGAGAGCATTTGCTGCTGTCAGGGGCTGACGCGTGAGCCTTGTTCGAGGCGGTTGTGGTAGACATTCTGCCGTTTGTCATTGATAGGAAGGGCGGTGGTTATTGTCATGCTGGGCAATACGGATCAGATGAGGTGATGCGAGATGACTGGGACGTTTTGAGAGTTTTGGTGGTCATGATTCTGATTCTGAGGTTCTACTTGTCGAGTTATATATCTATATATACCTACATTCTTATGCCTTTACCTCTACCTACATAGTATATATTACCAAGTACATATCCCTTGCACCGTCATCGTTCTCCATCCTTACTAGTAGTACTCGGCTCGAAAAAAGACGTATTCTACTCTAAAGAAGTTTCATTCATCCCCAGTCACTCGTCATCCTCGCCTCTCTGCAGAACTAAAACTCGCCGGCGGCTATCCCCTAGATATAGTGAGGACGATCCAGACTTGAACCCAAACACTAACAACCGACGAGTCAGCCACAGCAGCGTTTATCCACCAACGTCTCCATTTCTCCACTACTTTAATCACAAAGACGAGCTGTGGGAATTTAAGCTCAAGGGGAACAAAAAAGCTCATCAAGCAGCAAAGGCAAGATGGCCGAGCGGTCTAAGGCGCTGTCTTCAGGATTCCCACAATGTGGACAGTTTCATCACCTTGTGATGCTATACAGCATGTGAGGACCCCTGGCAGTCCGAAAGGGCGTGGGTTCGAATCCCACTCTTGTCAAGAACTTTCTTTTTATCTTTTTTCTTTTAAAAGAAAAACATCATTTATGTTTTCAAATGGCTTTGGGGGGCCCTTTCTTTTTCCTTCTCGGTTTCATCATGTATTATTACATGTATATCATGTTTGAGAGGGGTTGGTTTATTCTCAAGTGAATCTATTTATGTCATCTCTCGACGGGCAAATATAAAACTCTAAACTAGCACACACCCATTGGAAAGTCTAGCTTTTTGATCGATGAAAAAGGAAAGGTGCCCAGAAGAGCAGAGACAAAAGAAATCTATGACTGATCTATAATTATTAATAAGTGTGCCAGCGGATCCTTAGCCGTCGGCACGCTGCGGTTCCCGAGAAACAAAAAACGTACGTTTCTCGCAAGCGTATTCCCGCGTGGGAAGGTTATGTACAACATGAGAAAGAAAGAAAAATCACAAAAAGGCGGATAGCCGCCGCATTGGTAGCACCGCCTTGGCCTGCATCGGAGGCGAGTCAGTGACCAGCCTCAAATCCTTGACCAGCCTAGCCCACGACGCAGCTCCTCTCATGGCCAACTCTTCTGGTACTTCGTGGCCTTCGTCAGACATGCGCCGGTTGAACAGCTCTAGACTGACCCAGCCGCTGAAACCTAGGCCGTGGAAAAAGGCTGCTGCGAGTTCTTTGACGGGCAGGTAGGCGCCGTATTCCTTCTCTCCGTAGAAGAGTCTGCAGTTTCGAGACCAGCTCATCCGTGCTGGCTGGGAGGGGTTGTAATATGGGTGTCCTGGGAGAAGGGGCTCTTTCAGGCGGGCTGCGTCGACTACTTGGACGTAGAAGACTTTGTCGACGTCGACGTGTGATATGAGGTTTGCGATTGAGCGGTGGACAGCCTCTTCTGCATTGGGTGTTCGGCCAGTTGGGGAGGTGGGATCGGCGTAGATGCGTCCGGCTATGTTGAATGTGTCGAGGCACATGCCGAAGTTGGGGCGGTCTACGCGCCTGACTACCTCCCAGCAGAGCTCCCACGTGTCGATCCGTGTGCTCCAGCAAAGGGATTCGTATGCGAACCGGATGGGAGGTGAAGCGAGCAGTCCGATGTCTGCGATTTGTTGCAGATCTGCCACGATCAGGTTCAGGTCTGTGCTCACGTATTCTGCGGGTAGGAAGTTTGCTGGCACTTGGATCATGTCGGTGCCGAGCTCGTGGGCGAGCTGGATCCAGAAATCTAGCTTTTCGAGATGACGCTCGTGCTCGGATCGATCTAGAAGGCCATCGTAATGCAAGAAGGGCTGGAGACACACAATCTCGAGACCTCTGGAACTGCACATGTCGTATATTTGTTTGGCGGCGGCCATCTGGGAGGCTTGCGATGGGCCTTCGGAGGACGAGAAGTCGGGATATAGTGTATCGGCAATGTCTGCCAGATCCTCATGGAACAGTTCGATGCCTTTGTACCCGTATCTCTGCGCGGCGTCGAGCTTGTGAGCAAACGAGTGGCCGGCATAGCAGCGGCCCAGTGACATTGAGCTGATGGCTAATCTGTTGGCCATCTTGACGGGAGGTTTGGAGAGCATGACGAGGTCGGACGTGACTTGGTGCAAGACTCTCTTGAGACAGAGCAATAATAATTAGGGAGGAAGGGTGAACCAAGTAGAGGAGAAAATGTTTGGTAGATGATGCGCAGTGATGTGGTAGGATTCTGTGACAGAGAGGTGCTTCGACACTTTCAGAGAGGATTGTATTGACTCAAGAATAGAATAAAGAGAGCTCGTCATGAAGCTTCAAGTTCTAGAAGACTTGGAACGAGAAGGAGCGACTGGGCTTATATAGCCAAGAAGCAAGTGGTCGAGACTTGTACCACACCGCCAGACACCGATCTTGAAGTTCCACCAGCTCACAGATGGGATCAAGATACCGAGGGAGAGAAAATTTTGCTCCTGGAGATTCGACCGGGGGTTGGGCCACGGACTTCTTCGTCGACGGACAGACGCCGACTGTCTACGTGGGCTCCCGTTCTTGCCCGTTGTTCCCCGTCTTGCCGTCCGTAACGTCTCACACTCTCACTTTGAGCTCCGCGCCGGTGTGTAATGAACAAGGATGACTCGATGGCAAGAACGAACACTTGATCGTCATTGTTCCTTCCTCGACCCTGCGTTAGCATTCGGCTGGCAGTCATCGGTGAGACTGCTTCTTGCGTTTGTAATCTCTCTCACCGGCGGACGGGACGGACTGGCAATGATGTAATTGCCAAAAACTGGGAGAGAAGTACCAACGAGCCGGAAAGAACTGGCGCCACGAGAGCTTCGGACTGGCAGGCACTGGTGCTTTCCTTCCTCGAGTTCGTTAGGGCTTCAATCTTGAGAAAGAACCCATCCTTCCACTTGGGTGCGCACTTGCACAATCGCCTAAGAATAATTCGGGGGATTCGTCCAAAGTGGGAGAATAGTTGCTCTGTCAAGATCCATTAGAGTGCAAGAAAGTAAGCAGACTTTGGAATATTAGATCACGGACTGGGAGCCGTGGGATCCTTCTTTCCTTTTTTTTGTATGACACGGGTGGTTACACCATGTGTGCCACCAAAAGATGTGCATAGTTCTGGCAGTGCCGTATCATGCCAGGAAAAGAAATCCATTCCGGTCAGTTTCAATCAGCTTAGAACGTTTCCCGTAGATACGTAGGCGGTCAGTTTGAGTACGGACCGGGATGGATAAGAGTTTGCGCATTGGGACCGGTGTGGTTGAAATTCTTCACCACGCTCGTCCATGGCCCGCCCCTTCTGATGCCGCCAAGCCGATCATGTCAGTGCATGTCTAACAACAAGCTGCCAGGTTTCCTTGCCCTGTCAGGCTTGGGCAAGCCGGCAAGGCAGGTACGACCAGTGGGCTGCCTACCGATGTGGTTAGTAAGCGGACGCCGGCAACAGACGCTGCAGTAGTGTACCGCTAGTGCAGTGTAGTGGAGGCCAGGAGACCCCTGGAGGAATGTTTTCTGGAAGCGGTGACAACGCACTGATTGTCAACTAGGTATCCGTATCGACGGCAAGACGGCAACTTGAAGTCGGACTGAATGGTGTCTGTAAAGTCCATTAGAGGTGAGTACGTATGCCATCATCTTTCCATCGTATCATCTCGATTCATCTTCTCCATTGTCTTGGAGGTTTCAGCCTTCCTTCCAGAATAATATCAGATCCTTGGCGTGGAAGCTTGGTAGAACATGGGACGAATAAATCAATTTGTACCACGGAAACTCGGTGCTGCTCTTGCCCCTGCCTACGTTGGTCGGCGAAAACTCCGTAGACTGGTACCAGTTCGGCGGGTCTCTGCACAAGCCGAGACACGCATGGAAGGTTTTATCTGCTGAACTGTGGTTCTGAACTTCTGTCAGCTGTCGTTTCCTTGCTTCCTTCATCCTTCCCCTTTTCATCACTAATTAGCCGTCATCTTCCCGCGGCCAACAAGAAAACTCCCCGGTCCACTCGGCTTTCTTTATGATATATCTGTGTACAGCAGCACGAGGAGTTCGTACGACCTGCAGCAATGTATCAGTCGGCACAAAGCCGTCCCTGGTTTCCGTCTTCCCGGAGAGTCGAGATTCTCAAAGCTTATAAAGGACGGGGAAACACAAACAGTGAGACATGGTACTACATGTGCGAAAAGGGGCTGAACAATGACTCTCAAAATAAACAAAAAAAAAATGAGAATGGCCTTTGGTGCTACTCAGGCAATGACGACAACAGAGACGATCACTGTCTAGAAAGGAGAGTGATGACGACTGCCTGGTGTCAGCTTGAATGGAAGTATGAGACTTAGGACTAGGGGCCTCGTCCTTTGACAAACCCAGCATCTCCTGACAGCAAGCATCGAAGCTAATACATGATCCAGAAATAAAGAAGATAAACTGACTTGTAGGACCGACTGTCATCATTCTGTTACCTAGGGTTCAAGACCACATCCCATCAGACCCACAGACGGAGCGCCCCAAGTCTCAAGAGACCTTTCTCACACGCGACACACGATACAAGACCTGCCTGTTCCATTCGACACATCACATACGACCATAGGCACTTGAAAACTCGGGATCCCGTCCGCTCTCCTAAAGATAAACAAGTGACCGCTGAACTAGTACTCAGGTCGGTGACGACTGGGGAATCCTCAGTGTTGTATGTTTTTTCCTTTCTTTTTTTGCCCTTCACGCAACGACATCTTTCATTACACCCTAGAAGGTCGTGATAATTCAACATCTTCCGTAGACAAAGTCACTGATGAATCGCCTCCCACATCATCTTTTGTCCTGTCTACAAGGTTATAGATATGGGGACTTTTAGTGGCGGTTTTCTGCTCTCCCAGCTGTACCGGCTCTGCATAATGTCCCGACCTCTGTCTCGTCGACCTTGACCTGACAGAGACAAACGATGTGATCGGCGAGTGTGAAGTGCATGACATGGCGCCAGGCCCGGTCACATATCTGGAGAGAGAGAGATGGCGAGGAGCTGGCTTGCGCAATGTCCAATCCAATGGCCAGGAGCAGTATTAGTTTCCATTCTGGAAATGTGGTACAGTTCTTCACCTTACACAGCCATCGACGCCCTTGTTGAGCTGCTCCGAATCCAGGGTGACACTGAATGCCGGAACCATGATATATATGGCAGGGGAATAAGAAGCAAGTTGACGGACGAGACGGACTCGTCCGTAAGTCCCAAGTTCTATCGAAACGCTTTTCGAGCTTTCAGTCTCCACCTTATGGACTGTACGGCAAAGGCTCTTCTGGGGGTTTCTCGAAATTATCCGATATCGGGACAGTTTGAACATTTGTTGAGGTCATAGTGCAAGATAACGAAGGAACAAGAATCTTAAACCAATGATCCAGAGTTGAGATCAGTAATTCAACAATATTCATGCAATAGCTGGTGTAATAATGCTCGGAAACTATTGCGAGGATGGTGTAACCGGCCAGCGGAACAATATCCGACCCGCTGCTTGTTTGCTTGTTATAACAACCCGTCATACATCGTCCATGCATATTAACAT